AGGAATTATAGTGGTAGCAATAGCAACTGTCACTCAGTTGCATGTCAGGTAAGAGATTGTTTCCTATCCCCTGCCCATCCCCCAACCCTGCTCTCCTCCTCCAGTGCCACTTGACTCAGAAGTTATGGAGGCTGTCTTGAGTTCAGTGAGGGTGCCTCAAGTCCAAAAATTTGGAGAACCATTGGTCTAAAACCTCTCTATACCACCCACCCCAAAAATATAATCTTTAGTCTCCCTTATAACATGGGAGCTGGATATGTACCAGATTCTCTTACACCATTCACATGCACAGGTTAAAGAAACAGGCACTTACCTGGCCATAACAAAAGTTCCATAGTTACATCCCAGAATCAGAGAGATATTGCCATGAACCAGAAACCATAGTGGATGAAATGAACAAAAGCCACCTTCATGGCTGTACCTGCAAAATATTGAGGGCTCTGCGCATGTCACCACTAGAGAGGGTCACCAAAGCTTTCATCCCATCATCGGTTATGTCCACCCTGAAAGATGAGATTTTTGGATACATATCATCAGTACTGAGCCAGAGGACTGCCATGAGAGTACAGCCTGTTATTTGAAGAATCCTGACTGTACATCAGGTACAGTAGAGAGTGCAAAGCCTTGAGATCATGAAGCCAGAAAGCAAGCACTGCTATTAGAGCTCCTGCCCAGACAGAGGCAGATTTGGTGCAAGAGGGAAGGAGGTACAGGCCCAGAAGGAGCAGCGTAGCCAGATACTACACAAGATTCCACCTCACACTGATCTGCCAATGTATTCATTCCTCATCTACTACTCATCGGATGCCCTAGACTGCTTCTGGGCAGAAGCATCCAAGTAAGCTGAAATGTACATAACAAACAACACCCAACACAAATGGAGTGCGGGGAATCTCTGTGCTCAGGTTTTGCTACCTGTGCCTCAATAAGACAAAGCCCAACACAAAAACTTCCTGGCTACCTGAGGTTTAAGCACAAGCCATAGAGGGTGCTCTGCATCTTACAGTGCAGTTCTCCTTTGATATGGGGGTGGGTATGAACAGCACCTTCCCTCCTCCATTTATTCCTTGCATGTGTTCATGGTCACACCTGACAATTTGAGCTGGGCAACATTTGTTTTTCATCACTAAAATGATTCAAGTATCAATTCCATTTGAGCTGAAATAATGGGGAGAAAAGCTCTGAAGTAATTGAACCATTTTATTTTGACATTTTGAAATTGAAATGTCTGCTTTCAGAAGCATCGAAATATGTTGTAAATATTATTTAAATGATAATTTCAACATAAGGTTTTTCATTTTAAAGCAGTCCTTGGGGTAAGACAATCAACAAGAGGGTCAAGCAACTCAAACATGGAACTAGTTTTATTTTGGATCAAAGAAAATGATTGGGTTGATCCAAAACTAATTTCTTTCCATTTTGCTGAAAATGTTCAGTTCAGTCCAAAATGATGTGCTACCCCTGTTCAGCCACTGAACAAAAATATCCATCATTCACCCAGCTCTACTGCTGACTTTAGTATTGAATATAAGAAATCAAGAGAAGCGAAGAGTGATGGCCTTGCAGAGCTAAGAAAGGAGAAGCTGGATTCTCTTCTGCTTTGGGTTTAAGGATTCTATTAATGAGGCTCCAATTACAGAGCCTAACTGCTTTTGTTGCACCTGTGTAAGTTCACAGACCACAGAGCTGCCTCGGTGAAATGAGGGCAGAATTAGGCCCTAGAGAAACTTCATTAATGGCCCTGATGGGTGAGGAGGAGAGAGCCAGTGTGAGTTTACACAGCTAACAACCAGTGCAGGAGCAGAAGCAAATTTACTCTGGAAAACGTTGACACAAACAGAGCTCCAGGGACACTGCTCTTATTCTTAGTCAGTGTTTTCTAGGCAGAACTACATTTGAAGCTCCAAAGCAGTTTAATGAAACAACCTGGAAGTATTTTGGGTTGCCATAGGTTGAAGGAAACCAACTTCAGAGCTGCAAAGAAGGCACAGAGGGAAATCCCAGCTCTTGGGGCAAGGGAGGAAGCACATAAAGTAAACTGGAGAAAAAGTAGCAGTCACAGCTGCTGTTACTACCAAGGTAAGGGGGGGACTGAGCGAGTGGGATGGGAAGACAGAGCAGAGGCTAGCAAGAACAAGGGTAAAGAGAAAACACATTCATCAGTAGTAATCCTGCTATAAGATGCCATTTTCCTCTTGTTCAGACTCCCTGCCCTTCCCCCACCATATTCTGTACTCACTTCTCCTCATCTATAACGTGCTGCACCCGGGGGACCATGAGCTCTGGGGTCAGGGGGCCAAATCGGAACCTTGTGCACCTGGACTGCAGGGCAGGGATGATCTTGGAGAGGTAGTTGCAGATCAGGCAAAACCTGGTGTTCTCCGTGAACTTCTCAATCACTGCAGAGTTTGGAGGGGAGGGAATGGGAGAAATGGCAGATCAGAACCAGTACCAACTTGAACTTGCAGTCAGAAAAGAGTTAACTAAATGTAGGCAGCAAACCTTTCTACCCCACATGCTGCAAGGCCCAGGATGCTGGGCAGCCAGTGTAAAACACCTTACAATTCCTGGAGCTGGAGTCACCTCCCAGAAGGCCAGACTCAGAACTTTATCCTTCCAGGCAGAGTTCCAGGAATTCACTCTGTATGGCTCTTTCACTTAAGGCCCGGTGCTGTTACCATGAGGCTACCACAGAAATTCCTCCTCTCATAGATCCTGTCAAGAGCTAAGTGTACAGAGCTCCCTTCATGCCAAAGTGTGAGATTGGTTGATCTGTGCAACCACACATGCATTCAGAGACATCCTCCTAGCACTGGAGATGCAGTCATCTCTGGGGTGTAAGGTAGTAGGTAGCTGGCCAAAAGGAACATAACACCCTATAACAGTGCCCTTACATATGCTCATGGTATCACAGTTGCCACTTGTTTCCTTGGGAAAAGTCTGGACAGACACCTTGGCTTGAGTCCGGGGAGAAAGGGCACAGGATAGGAGGTAAAACTGTATATAGTCAGAAATCATTGCTGTAAGTAATCTTTAAGGCTCTTGAGAAGCACCACCTGCTTCCCCCATTGCGAGCCAGATGCCACTCACCTCTCCTCAGGGCGTTCTGAGCATCCTGGGTCATGGCATCTGCTTCATCCAGGATTACAAGCTTAAAACCTTTTCTAATACAAAGAGAGGATGGCTGTGTTAGACCTGCCTGCCTTTCCGGCTACCCTGCAGCCAGCTCCCAGCCGTAGCTCTCCGGTTAAGGCAGCCAGTGGGGTTGAGTCAGGGAAGGGGAGTTTGGAGAGACTCACTGCTACTACAAAGTACTGGCTCCCCTTATTTCAGTTGAAATCTATTATTTCTAGCCATCCTCACTAAGTAATTTTAAAACCAGTCCTCCCCCTGGTCTCATTAGCATCCCCTTCAGTACTGAGAATCCTGGCACTTCTCTCCCTTGCACAGTATGGTTCTCACTCACTGCCTATCTATTGGTGCCGTCAATGCATTTTGATCCCTATAAGCCTGAGTGTCTAAAGTGCAGCTCCACCCACTTCACAGGAATTAGTATGCTCATCACCTTTGGAAAACAAAGCCCCAGAATTAGGCACCAGTCATTAGGGGCCAGGTTCATTTTTTAATCTGTTTTCTCCCCATGCTCTCATTCCAGCTGCTCTTCTCAGTGCACTCTTCCTCCATCCTGTAACAAGCACTCAAAACAAGCCAGGCTGGCTGGAGCTCTTGGGTGCAATGTGAACTAAAGAATTTAAAATGGCCTTCCTACCACTCTTCCTTTCTAGTCCCCTGCTTCTGTCTGGCTGTTTTCCTGTCAGTTCTCATGTAGTTGTTTACATGTGTAAAGGTTGAAAGAGAAAGTGGACATTTTGCTTATAAACTAACCTTTAAAAGCCAAGAGTGAAGTTTCAGCATAGTTCTGTGAATTCCTTGCTCTTTGGTTTATATAAATAAGGGAGATGAGAGTGAGAGGAGAAAAGAAAAGGCAAAGTGTAGATAAAAGGAGAAATAACTTCCAGGGAGGCAAGGGACACAAACCTCTTATGACACTTACTTAAAGATTGTCCTTGTGCTGGCAAAACTTAAAATGGGCCCCCTGACTATATCGATTCCTCGGTCATCTGAAGCATTCAGCTAGAGAGAGCAGCTGGTGTTAGAAATGCAGTATTAAGGCACCCTTGTAAGGTAATGAGAACATCTGAACAAGTAAAGTGTCATAGTTAAATGCTAAGGTGGAAACTGAAACAGAATTAAGTGTTCACACGCAGGCCTACATTAGCTTATTTTGGTTTAAGAGTGTCTTTTTCCAGTTTGGCTATAAGTCTGTCAGGACAGGCTTAACTAAATAGATATTCATGCTGCAATGAACCTGTATGAGCCCCCTCCCATATCCCCAGCTGATGTAAGGGCAGTTTTGTTTGGGACATTAATTAATTTGTAGTCTTTAGGGCAGGAAAAATTTGGAAAAAAAAAAAATCACTCTCTGGACTCATCAAGGTTGGCTAAATCAGTCCAACTTTCTCGTGCAGACTGGGCTGAAGGTGGTGGCACATGCGCACATCTTGATACAGAGGATGAAAGAAGGGTAATCTTTAGCAGCATCTGTTAGAAGGAGGACCAGCTCTCGTGGACACTGAATGAAAGCTTGACTAGCCTGTGCCCTCATCATCAGCAGAATACTCTGAGCTGTGCAGCTGGAAGACAGCACCTCCAGACACTAATAGGTAGAGGGGCAGGGGGGAAGGGGTTGAGTTACCTCTAAAACCATGGAGTTGAATTCCTTGTCTTTATAGAGTTGTTTAGCACAGGCCAGAATTGTGGAGGTCTTGCCAGTCCCTGGTGGTCCATAGAGGAGAAGGTGAGGCAGACGATCTTCACTGATGAACTTCTGAACTGAGAGATGGGTGAGAGGAGCAAAACCCATTCTTTATTAAACAGCAGGATAGTAACTGGCTAAGCAGCTATATGACTTCCAGCTCTCAGATTTGGGGAGGGTTAACATTGAGCTTTCTACACCTACAGTAGCAGGTATGCTGTACTATCAGCTGCCCCTCTTTCAGGCATGCATGCTCTGCTGTCCAGCCCATTTTTAGAGGAGGAAATTCCAAACAGGTTTCAAAATGCTTTAAAAAGTCCTGCTTGGGTTTGATACAAGAAAGTGTTTGGGGTTTAAAATTGTACTATTTGTTCCACATCACTTTGCAAACAATGCATAGACAGCCCATGATTGAAAGCTGACCATGGAACGGTGATGTTCACAAAAGAAAAATGGTGCCTATTAAGTGATACAAAGGAGATACTGTCATCTAAGCTAAGCCTTGCTGTAACAATCAGGGCCACATCTGCACTGTACAGTTTATCTGAATGTAATTATCTGAAGATTTCTTTTCTGTCACATGATCCAAAGATCTGTTACCATGAGAGTCTGTAGTTTTGGAGATAAAAAAAAAAAAAAAAAAAAAAAAAAATCAGACAGGGCAGCTCAAGTCTGTTTAAGTCCGCTTCATTTAGGGACCACTTCCACAGCCAGGATAATTCTATTCTGCTTTCTTAAACTGCACGTACAATAAATACACTTCAAAGGAAAGGCACAGCGATTCCTCTGCCCACAGAGCCTGGAGATAACTCTCCACACTAAAATACACTTGATGTTCCATTATCTTTGCTCATAAGTTGCTTGCTCCCTAGGATTGAACTGTTCATGTTCTTCATTTAGTTACTTACGAAAACCCCACTAGATATGCCAGGTAGCACAATGACAATAAGTTACTCCATGTTATGAACAGAGCTCAGCGACTTCAGATCAGCTTGTCCCAGCCAGATGTTATGTGGGTGCTCCCTCTTTCATGCATGTGTGCTCTTTTTGGTATCCATCCCTTGTACTGATCGAGTCCCATCTCTATCCATAGCTGGCATGTGGCCCAATGATAGCTTTGCCTGCTTCCTCTAGAATCTGATTTTTCGTAATTACTACAGAATCCTTCCCTTGCTGCAACTTGAGACTGTTGCTCCTTGTTCTGTCACCTGCCACCACTGAGAACAGTCCAGCTCCATCCTCTTTTGAAACCCCTTCAGGTAGCTGAAGGCTGCTGTTCCCCCCCACCCTTCCCCCTAGTCTTCTCTTCTCTAGACTAAATAAGCCCAAGTCCCTCACCATTTCTGTTGCCCTCTGATGGACTCCAATTTGTCCACATCATTTCTGTAGTGGGGGGCCGCAAACTAGACACAGTACTCCAGCTGTAGCCTCACCAGTGCTGAACAGAGGGGAATAATCACTTCACTTGATCTGCTGGCAATACTCTTACCAATGCAGCCCAGTATGCCATTAGCCTTCTTGACAACAAGGGCACACTGTTGGCTCATATTCAGCTTACTGTCCACTGTAATGCCCAGGGTTAGCTTATTTTGGTCTAAGGGTGGTTTATTCCAGTTTGGCTATAAGTCTGTTGGAACAGGCTTCTTTAAATAGATTTTCATGCTGCAATGAACCTGTATGAACCTCCCTTATCCCCAGCCGATGTAAAGGCAGTTTTGTTTGGGGCCTTATGGTAGCAGTCTTTTGGGCAGGAAAATTAAAAAAATAAATAAATAAAATGAAATAAAAAAAATCACTCTCTGGACTCATCAAGGTTGGCTATATCAGTCCAACTTTCTCGTGTAGGTCCTTTTCTGCAGAGCTGCTGCTTAGCCAGTCAGTCCGCAGCCCGTACTGGTGCATGGGACATTTCATTCTAAGTACAGGACTTTGCACTTGTCCTTATTGAAACTGAGCCCAATGCTCCAGCCAGTTTTCTATTCATCTTACTGTCCATTCATCCAGCCCATACTTTCTTAGCTTGCTTGCGAGAATGTTGTGGGAGACTGTATAAAAAGCCTTACTAAAATCAAGGTATACCATGTCCACCGGTCTCCCTGCATCCACCGAGCTAGTCACCTCGTCATAGAAGGCAATCAGGTTGGTCAGGCATGACTTGTCCTTGGTGAATCCATGACTGCTCCTAATCACCTTTTTCTCTTCCGAGTGCTTGGAAATGGATTCCTTGAGGACCTGATTCATGATTTTTCCAGGGACTGAGGTGAGGCTGACTGGTCTGTAGTTCCCTGGATCCTCCTTTTTCCCTTTCTTAAATATGGGCACTATATTTGCTCAATCACCATGAGTTTTCAAAGATGATGACCAGTGGCTTTGCAATCAAATCGGCCAACTCCCACAGCACCCTCGGGTGCATCCCATCTGGCCCCACGGACTTGTACATGTCCAGCTTTTCTAAAGTCCCTACCCTGTTCTTTTGCCACAGTTGGCTGCTTACCTCCTTCCCAAACTGTGTTGTCAGGTACAGTAATTTGGGAGCTGACTTTGCCTGGAAAGACTGAGGTGAAAAAGGCACTGAGTACTTCAGCCTTTTCTGCATCCTCTGTCACTAGGCTGCCTCCCCAATTCAAAAATGACCCCACACTTTCCCTAATTTTCTTCTTGTTGCTGACATACTTGTGGAAGCTCTTCTCGTTACCCTTCACATCCCTTACTAGCTAAAACTCCAATTGTGCTTTGGCCTTCCTGATTTCATCGCTGCATGCCCAAGCAATGCTCTTATACTTCTCCCTAGTACTCCAAGATTCCACTTCTTATAAGCTTCCTTTTTGTGATTTAGCTCACTGAAGAGTGCCCTGCTAAGCTAAACTAGTCTTCTGCCATACTTGCTGGTTTTCATGAACATCAGAATGGTTTGTCCCTGCATTCTCAGTAAGGTTTCAGTTAGGGCAGCACAGAATAGACCACAGAATCTTGGCCTCTGCCAGGAAATGCAGTAATAAAGCAAGATGTGGAGGAGACACCAGGGCTAAGTACAGTCAAAAAGGCCGAAGCTGAATTGATTCAGTCTTTTCAGGCATCTAAACTGCAAAGATTGAACCAATAAGCAAATTAACATTCACTTTTGATTCAGGAAATGCAGCCACATGCCTGCAGTGGCTCAAGCCAGAAGCACAGCTCTGGCATATAGCCAGCATGGGCTATTTGTTTGCTACCTCTTCCTGCTGCCCCCAAGGTCTCTGAGACTTGCAGTCCACAATCACAGCAGTAGTATTCTGCTGTTGCTCATCACTTCCTCTTTCTCCTTCCAGATGCCTCTGGGATTTGTAGTCCTTAGTCACAGCCTGTGCTAAGTAAGCAGGGCAAGGCAGCTCTGTACCAGGGGAAGGGAATTTTAACCTCCCTCCCTGGCCCCAGACCCCAGCAGGAGTTTACTGGGAGAGGGGGGGCAGTGAGCTGGCTAGTGAGCCAGGTCTCTGCTCCAGCTAGGGAACAGAGGGGTGGGGCTAGCCCAGGGCTGCAAAATGCTGAGATGCTGAAGGACTCTGATTTAACCTGAACCAGGAAGGGGTCTGGAACAGAAGTTTCATAAACCAGTTTGACCTAAATCAGTTAAGTCTGATACTAAATTCAAACATTTTGAAAATGGTTTATGTGCACTGAACCAGTTGTTACAGGTTTAAACCAGTTTCTGATCACTTAAACCAGTTTATGTGCAACTTCTGTCCCCAGCCCAGGAGACAACAGCTTTCACAGCTTTGGGAAGTCCAGAGGTGAGGCCTGCCTGAAAGTGGCTGCTTGCAAGGGGGTGGGATAGAGAGGCAGTTGTTCTTCAGGTAAACAAAAACCCAAAACAAAACTCCCTGTTAGAGACATGACAAGAGATGACAGCATTCCCTTTCATAAGGACACAGATTGAAATGTGACTGCATGCAAAGGAACCTTCTGGCCTTTTGAAACTGAAGGCTAGGGTGGGCAGCAAGAAAGTAGTAAATGGTGGGCCAGCAGGCCCCATGCTCTCAGGTTGTTCACTCTCCCTCTTAACATGCTGTCTGGCCCTGTCTGGCCAGCTCTTACACTCCTGCTTAGGAAGGGGGGTGGTCCAAGGTGACCCTAGTTGGACTGGTAGGCTGAACATGGGTAAAGAGAACTACACTTGAACTCACAGAGCTGACAAAGCTCCCCCTGTACACTGAGGGGAGAGGGCACAATGCAGGGTATTCTGGTGCTCTGTCTGCTTAGCTTGCTTCTTGGAGCTTGACAGGGCAGCAGCTGCCACAACACCTTTGAGGGGAAGAAAAACCATGTGAAATCTCTCTCCAAAAAGCAAATGCAGCCCTGGGACACAGCTGGGAATTAGCCACTTGACTGAGCCAAGGTCCTAGTCTGGAATTTCACCAAGAACAATCTCTGCAGCAGATGCTGTGTCTGCACCACCCAGACAAAACACACTGAGGTAGGCTGGAGCTTTGGCCCTTCTGCTCTGCCCCCTCACAGGCCGGGACACCCCTCGTAGCTGCTCCACGGACCAGAGCACAAAAGCAGGAAGCTCAAGCCACATGTCAAGACCCTTTCTAAAGGCTGTAAAAAGTCAGCTGCACGGAACTCAAGTCTGTAAAGTGGGATTGACATGCCTGGGGCAGAAGTGTTACTCAACAAGAATCCCACACATACCAACAAGGATCAACTAAAGGTAGGAACAACATCTTATGTTCTACAGTAGCTACAACAGGCTTCATGAGGGGCTCCTTGACAGATTAATGTGCCTGGCACACTGCACTTCTCTCTCTCTCTCTGACATTTCTCACCCTTGTATCAAGTGTTGCAGCAGCCTTTTCTCACAGGAAGTTCATGCAAAAGTTTTTACAAGGTTTTTTTGTTTGTTTTTGTGAAGTTCACTGGTAACATACTACCAACACTTCACTTGGCTGGCTGATGAGGACATGATCCCATGCAATAAGCTCATGCTTTCATGAGCTTGCGCCCATTTGGAAAGATGCTCATTTTCACTATGAAAAAGAAGGTTGCATTATCTAGTACGGAGGCCCGCTACCGGTCCGCAGCAAGGCTGGCTGCTGGACTGGAGTCCGATACTGTGGAGTGGCAACTTTGTTATACCGAGTATAAAAAAGGGTTGGCTGCCGCTCTGCAGTACGCCAGTCACATCCAGACTGCAGTTTGCCGGTCTGCGGTCACTTCTGGTGCACGGTCACTTCTGGTCCGCGACCTGGACAGGTTGGGAACCCCCGACCTAGGAGTTGTACAGAATCGGGACTCTAGGCTTCTCACACCAGCTCTGCCACGGACTTCCTCTGTAACCTTGGGCAAGGCACTCTCTGCCTCAGCTTCTTCACCTGCAAAACGGGTTTTTCACTATCTGCTAATGTCTGCAACCCCCTCTGAGCTGAAGTGCTGGAAGCATTCAATACTTACTAGTGCTCAGAATGTCCTGATGGGAAATTAAGTCACTCAGTGTCTGAGGACGATATTTTTCCACCCTAAAGATAAAAGAGAACTTAACGTCAGCGCAGCGGACGAGGCGCCGGGAGGGAGGAGTGGAGGGACCCCCTTGCCCTCCTACCACGGCAGGTTCCGGCCCTTCCCCGGCGGCGGCCGCACGGCCACGGGCTCCATCTCCGCGCGCACTACGGGAAGGGGCGGGGCCTCCTGCCCGCGCTCCTCGGATCTCGCGAGGGTTGGCGCGGCCCCGCCCCCCCCGCGTTGCTAGGGGCGACGGTGACAGCCCTTCCCTGCACATGGAGGGGCCCCGCCGAGGGCGGAGCTGCCCCGCCCGGTGACAAGGTGTTTAGCAGAGGTTGCAGATTTGTTGGGAGCTGCCAGCCAAGTGTTTCAAATACCGAGCGCACAACACACCGCCCAACGCGCAGCGGCTGAGCAGCTAACTTGAAAGATGGTGCGCCCGCGTTTCCGAGCGCTCCGAGGGGACGGACGGAGACTTACTGACTGCCGATATTTGTCAACCTCAAATCAGGCGTGTCCGATTAAAGGGTCTCTCTCTTTCTTTTCCAGAGGGCCTCTTGGGAGTCTGCCCACCCTCGGGTGCACGGTCGGCCCCAGGCGCTTCGGGGATGTGATTAACCGACACGTGTCTTCGCGCGAGGGCCGCTGAAGTGGTTCCAGCGAGGACCGCACAGAAGCACGAGGAGGAAAAATGATCTTGGCGAGAACGATCGCGCATCGATTCAGTTTGGATGGAACGACAGCACAAACGCAACGCCTGCTTTTCGGTTCAGAACGGCAGACTTTAGTGAACGGAGGGGAGCAGTCAGTTCACGTACACCGTGGAGCGCAGGGACTTGAGTGCGGGGAGGCCTGGGGTTTCCTGAGAAAAACTATGTGGAATTCGCATCTCCAGATGAGGTTAAAAAAAACAAACCTTGTAGGGAAGTTGGCTACAAGTAACGGAAAAGGGGATCGATCAGTTAAGTAAGCTATGTTTTGGAGGTCAGAAAGTCTAGGGATAGAATAAGCATTGTCACAAGTCCAGCCGAGTTAGATTTTGTAAACGAAATTAAGATTTTTCAGCCAGGTGAATAAAGCGAACAAGGAAAGAAGTGCAGCTCGTAGGCAGTGAAGCTGAGGCAGAGATTCAGCAAAGCTAACTTAGGTATGGCTCACCACTGAACCATTACGTCGTCTCATTTTTCAGTGAGGACAATGATGTTGGCCAAGGGGGCAAAGGCAGGGTGACTGGTGGGAATAAGGGTATAGGGATAGAGTAGACTAGAAATTACCACATCTGGTATGGAAGTAAAGCTCTAAGTTTAACACATTCAAGTCAGGGGGACTGGATTATTTCTGTCTTGGGTTATGGAAGGAGTGGGCACGTGGAATCACAAATCTTGTAACAGGGATTGTTAATAACTCCATCCAATGGGTAATGTGCTATAGCAAAAGTATTGCCGGTATATAAGAAAAGGAAAATAAATGGTCTGAACAACTAGAGGCTCACAGGCCTGAAAGCTTTAAATACATTTTGAGGGAACTAGTAATTAGACATAAATAGAAAGTGGGATATAATGCAACATTGGCATATCAGAGGTGTATCTTGATAGACTAACCTGGTATCTTTGATAAAACATCTTATTTTCCAAACAAGGGAAAATGGTAGATCTTATCTATCTGGACTTCAGTAAAGCTTCTGATGTGGTGCCAGATGAGAAACTATGAGCTAAACTGAAGAAAAAGTAGATTAGTAGAAGTGTAAGAGTGGGTAAGAAACCAACGAAAAAAGCAACTACAACAGGTTAACTTCAGTGAGCAATCCCTTCAAGATCGCTTCTAAAAACAAACTTACTAAATATTTTCATTAGCTATCTTGGCACACAAACCAAGAGTGTGCCAATGAAATATGTCAGCGGTACAAAGTTGAAGAGCATAATTAAAACAGGAGGATCCGAATATCACGTAGGAAGAGCTGGATGATTACGTTTTAAGGACTGGGCAACACATGGGATTAAATTCAGTAGTACAAAGTACAAATAACAGGCATTTAGGGACTTATAGTGAGAATTTCAGTTTTAAGATGTGGGCTTATCAGTTGGAAAGACAGAGGGACAGAGACTTGGGAGTGTGTGTCTATTAAAGGATGACTATACACCAAGTGTGTGATTCAGCTGTGAAACAGCAAATTCAATTCTAGGATGTATCAGGTGACTTATTTCAGTAGAGACACATTCATGGAATAGCATCCAGCTTGTAGGATGAAGGGAAAATTAACTCAACTTTAAAAGTGTTGGAAAAGGTCAGTGCAACACTTTAGCACTGGCAATTAGTCTTATGTGTCACATAAGTCTTGTACTGCTCTGCTGACCAGTAGGAAATGGATTTTATAGCATAACTGGTAGGGGATTGTGTATTTAAAGGTGATATTTTAATAGGTGCACAAGGGGTAGAGTTAAGGTGACAAACAACATTTACTTGTGGATTCCCAGAGTAATTAAAGATTTAGTTTGCAATTTTGGTATTATTTTTAGTTAAATTAATTTTGCTTATAAGAACTTAAAAATATATATTATTTTGTCCCTGGTACAACTTTGTTGAAACAGGTAGATTGACTAGTCTTGCATTTTGTCCTAGTATGTTCAGGCAATAGATTCAATAACTTTCATTCTATTTGGATGTCATATTTTATGTTGTTATTATAACTGGTAATTTTCTATTTATGATAAACATGACACTAGCTATTTGTTAATTGAAATATGTCTGGAGATGGACTAGCTGAGCTAAATGGAAGCTGTTTAATCTCTGATTTTTGTGATTCTCTCTGAAAGGCCCATTTTTCAGTTAGAATGAAAAAGAACAGAAGCATTAAACTTATCATTATTTATAAAATGTACCCATGCTAAACTTGCATTTATATAACAAAATCAGCATAGGTAAATTAAATAGTAATCATATGAATATATTATTTTTTTAAAACAACTTTCATTAAAGACTCAGTGAAGTTTCTCAGTGGTAATGAACTTTCCTAACACATTTACAAAACAAAAATGCCTAAAAAGAAGAAACCTGCTAATTCAAGCTATTGTTGACTGTTCACATAATAAGCACATTTTTCTGATTTGCCTTTGTCCTCTGTTATAGGCTTGAGCTCATTGCGTAGCTTTCTATACTTCTAGGCGTGGCTCAGTACCCACCGAAGTTAATAGGCACAAGATAAGCACCTACATCTGATCCAAAGCCCATCGTGGGCAGTGAATAGATGAATGTTTCTTATGAGCCTATCAGCCCAACAGGCTGTCAGAGTTGAGGCACATCTGTTTCCGTAGCCAATGTCACACAAGGGAGTCACATGACTTGCGTTGCATTCGGCTGCCTTGGACTCCCCAACTCATTTGATCAGATGCAGATTTGCAGCTGGGGGCACAAGCCCAGTGGGAAACTCACACTCATCGCTTTGGAAGTGTAGCAAGGTGTCTTAACCACTGTGCCACCACACCCAGGCCAATGGATAGGCTCCTGTGATTTTACTGGGCACTGGGTCATTCCAGGAAACTGCGTGCTATGGCCTCAGTCCAGCAGAGCACTTCAGCACGTGCTTAACTTTCAGTGTATGAATATTGACATCAGAAGGGCTACTTTCATAGTGCAAAATGGGACAGTAGGTTTGGGACAGGATCTTTATGTTACAATATAAGTATGAATGGCATGTTCTGATTTAGATATTTCCCAGAATGAGGTTTTTTTTCTTTACATGTTTTATTTTGCTTATATGAAGATACTGAGGTTTGTGCTTATTTTTACATTTTAGATAGGATGTCAGGGTTACTAGACTATGAAGGCATAAAAGTGAGCAGAGCTGGTCAAAGTAGTCAGCAGCAAATCCTGCATCTCTGAATTCTAGTAACAAATTCTCAACTTGGCAGTGAGGGGTCACAATCAGGCATGAATGATGTACAATTCTGCCCTTCATGCAGTGGTAGGTGGAAGGTAATTCCTGGGAAGTCTTGGTTTGGAAAAGGCTGAGTGCTGTCCTACTAGTTTTGACATTTTTGAAAATATAGCTATCACTGAAGTTGCTCAGAGTACAAGGAATACCTCCCCCTGTTATCTCTGTTTTCTTATTGAAAGACTTAATTAACAATAGAAGCCACTGGGGGATAGTTCTTCCATTGGCTTTTTGTCTACTCAGTGTTCACTTTAATGACAGAGATAGTGTCAGGTCTTCAAATGTTGGCAGTATCTTGCACATCTTGGTATTCTTGCCCTCAGAAATTGCCTGCTGCACAAGGCAATGTCACAACCTATTTTTTCTCCTTGTTGACATTTATGAAAGTGCTTATCCAGTCCTTGAGTCCTGGACATCTGTTAAAAACCAATGAAGCAACTGGGCCAAAACCCCACCTGGTGTGAAGTGGGTTAGCCATTGGAGTCCATGGATCTATGCTAATTTGAATCATCAGAAAATCTGACCTACTTCTGTTCAATATACTGTAATCCCTTTTTCATTGAGCTGACAGAGGGATACCGATATGTTAGACACTTTCCAAATAACCTAAAGGACTTATTTTAAGCCTTGCATATTTTTAAAGTTAATTTATTAAAAAGAACATCAGAAAATATCCTAATGATCAATAAGACTGTATGCTAAATATTACAGAAAGCAGGAGGGATTATTTTCCTAGTTATAAGGAGGATTAAAATTGGTCTTGACTACATCTAAAGGCTACTACCTGTTAAGACATACTGCCTTAGATCCTACAGCAGTTTGCAAACTGCATGGGCTAATCATGACCTGATCCAATTAATTTGTCAGAAAGGTAATGTCTTTAGTCATTTTGGAAAGGAGAGCCCAGCATCTTAGTGTTCTGGTTTGTTTACTTCTTGATATGCCACCTTATCAGGCATTTCATAAGTAGTTGACTTCAAGCTCTTTAAATATTTTTGTCAATAGCAGCAATGGATTCCTGGAGGGAATCCAGCCTTTAGGTCATTAAATCATTGCTCCCAGTAATCATTTGTGGAAAGTTTCTGCAAGCTTAGCTTCCCCACTGGAGTCACTGTTGCCTCCGTTTCATCCTTGTATGATTAAATGCCTCAGGGTGCTAGAGGTTGTAAGTGGAAGACATCGCTTCTTTAAGGTGGGGGAGTATTTTATAACCCTCGTGTGGGTCAGAGAGACACAAACACAAGCTGGAAGAAGTCAAATAATACATTGAAAGTACTCAGGTCCCCAAACCCTCCACTCAGACCCACTGGCCTGTTGGTGTTTTTGTTTTTTTTTACTCCAATAGAATTCTAACATCTGTGAAGGCCACTGATGTTGCTGTTTTCTTGCCGAGGTAGAGGACAAGAATACTGTTTGTGGTGTGCTGTGGGAATATGAAAAAAGTGTTTTTCAATCCCATGCAGAAATTTCACAGACCAAATACAACCGTATAATAGCTTTGTCCAGAAACGTAAATAGTCCCTTACCCCCTGCAATTAAAAGGTGAAGGTTTACACAACAGATCATCAACTTATGGGTTTTTAAATGAAAAATAATGAATTAAGTTCAAACTGCCAAAAAATGAAATGATAATTATCACAAGTGGAAAAAAATATTCTCTCTCCTAAAAGAGTCTGTCGAGTTTTTATTTTGATCTCTTCAAGATAAACTTTTTATACAGAATGAAAGGACTAGCCAAGGCAATCTTGCCTTAAATGATGTAAGTCAATGTCCATGGCGCGCACACTCTCATCTGGGTTAGTTTGAAATTTGCAGTTAATCTTTGTATTCTGATGGATGCCCAAGAACTACATTCAGTTCCCCTGATATCTGTAGAGTTGTCCCATTTCGTAATGGAGTTGAGTTCAGCTCACATTGCTTAGGTGAATTTTGGAGTTTCCTGCTTTTTGAGCATGTCTTTTTTCCTCTCCCCACTCCCAATCTACCTCTCTGGGGATAACGACAAGTTTTTCACATTTATTCTTACCAGTAATTTGAATCCTTTCTGCACTGTCTGTCATTGCTTAGCATGCAAACCATCATGCCTGTTTATTCTAGGCAACTCTTTGCATATCTTTTATGTTAACTCTTTTATACATTTTCCTTCTCTGTAGTGTTTGAGAGAGGAATTCTTTTGGTTGACCCACTTCTGTATGCCCATCCAGCAGCCTGCCATAACAGATGCTTTGACTTAATTTTTAGCACAGTTAAAATCTCCCCATCTCCTGTTCTAGGTAACCTTGCAGATAATGGTTTGTCAGACTCGGAAAAAATATCAACATCTGTTTCAAATGTTCACTTTAATGCATAGCATTTCCCTGATGCGTGTGCTTTCAAAGGCATGGAACTGTCTATCTTTTGGTGGATTTTAGGCTTAACATCCCTATGTTAAGATAGAAATAGCATTTGAGTTGAAGTCGCACGCACATTTTTATATATAATCCCAGTATGTATTTATTGGGATATTCCGGGGGAGGGGGAGGGAGAATAGACCCTTGTAAACAAAGGGCGTCACAGAGAAAACTCATGTCCCAGGTGTCACTTGTGGTATCATAAATTGCACCCCACAAGGGACAGTACTGCTTATTTTTACAAGGAACTCTAATTTACACAACAAACTGTTAACCCTTAAGAAAACATGGTTTTCAGAGCATGTGCCATTGAGCTGATTTTTTTGTCATGCTGTGGTGTTTCCTTCTGCACCACTGTATAAACACACAGAGCTTTATGTATTTGAAAAGAAATGTGCCCTAAATAATACTATTACAAGCACACACATCCACATGCAAAAGAAACAACCAAGTCAAAATTTATGCTCAAATAATGGTAGCAGCCATGTTCTGCCTTGGATTCAATGCCTTAAGATACGTGTACATGGGTAATGGAGAAAGATGTTGGCTGCTTGACACTTCCAAAATCCAGTGCTTCAGTATGGCTTCAGGAGCCTAACTTTATAGGCTGTTTATTAAAAATATTGCTCCCATTACAGAGTACCAAAGTTCACTCAACAATAAAACTGAAAAACTATTAACATTTTAAATGGGAATGCTGCTCTTGATTTGCTCCATGGGGGACATCAGATGACTGATAAGAGCCCTGAAATTCCATTAAAGAAAAATATCTAGCCTTTTCTCTAGGAGAAAGATCATTCTCAAAATCTAGACACATTGATGGGGAGATTTATCAATGGGAAAAATAAATTATTTTTCTATCAAAAGTTGAGCTAAGCAGACCTCTGTGTGAATTAAAATGCATTTAAGAAAATGGCGGTCACCCCCAAATTGTAAAACTTTTTGGCCCAATCCTGACTCGCAAATGGAAAGTAGGAGAGAAAGTGAAATTGGTTACCTAGATCAGTAATTTAGGTAGCAGTTAAATTTTTATTTTGCATGTGGGCTTTGTAAGACAGTAAAGAAGGCTGGTGTTGACACATCCACTGGATGATTAAAAGTAAAACATTTTAGTTTGGGTGGATAACTACTAAGATGAAACTTTGCTTTGAATGACTAAGTCTGTATTGCTGATTATTTTCTCAAGGCTTTTTTATAATGGCAGAATTGAAGTAACTGGATGATTATAACTGTAGTTTCCATACTTAGACAAGTTTGGGTTTTAGTTCCCTGAGTCTTTTGCTATTTTTTCATGTCTCTTATTTCCTTAAAAAAGTAGGATGCACTCAAATCACTGATACTTGCTCCTGCACTTAAACTATCTAAACCCATTTTTGTTATTTTTGCAAGGAAATTATAAATTATGGGGGCTAATGAGCAGTACTGTATCTTCTGCATTTCTGAAGCAGGAAAAAGCTAAAATGAGACTTTAGGCTCAGCTCCCTTAATGTTAATAGTAAACAATGTAATTTGCATATGGCTATTATACTGCCTTCTCCCATGTGCTTCAGGATAAAGTTTGCATTCAGTGGAAAGTTGCAGTTAAGTGAAGTAGGTAGGAAACCTGCTGCAGCTGTCACTGTCCATATGTTATTTGGGAAGAAACTCAG